AATCACTTTGTAAAATTTTATTTTGACTGGTTACAAATATGAGCCTTAGCAGAATAAATAACACAATAAATAAATGATTCCAATTCTTCAAGTCAATCAAGTCAGACAAAAATCCATGTCACGTTTCAAAAACGTGCAAAACATTTGCACCCTTTTACAAGATTCCTATGAGATTAAGACAGAAAGGAAGCTATGGGATTAAAAAAATAAATAAAAACAACTGAAGGATTTTAAGGAATACTGCCTTTTCAGGAAAAACGACACCATGTGCAGTACAACAGTAGCAACTGTGGCTTCGTCACGGTTTGCTCATCCTTCTGAATGAGCTCTGCTTAATTGTCTTAAATTGAAAACACGTGGGCTACTTCTGAAATGTAAATGAAAGAAAATAAAGAATAATCTGTTAGAGTCAGAGGTGCTGTCATGCACGTGGATGTGACTGCCCTTGTTGCAGATGGAACACAGGGATGTCAGCAGTACTTCTTTCACATTAAACCCCAAGACTCTCTGCGCTTTAGTCCTTGCCGTTTTCGTTGTGCTGTTAAGTACGTCTACCTAAAAGGAGTGATTAGCTGTGAATCACATGTTCTTACAAAGACCTTGCCAACTCACATGCCCATTCAAAAGCTACAGGGATTAAATGGAAAGAGCTGCAACATAAAACTGTGTGCAAAAAAGAAAGAAAAAAAAACTTTAAAATGAAAAAAATGACCTCCTTCAGTAAGACTGAAGGAGGTCATTTGCAGGTTGGTATGAAAAGCCTCTCATTCTAACAGGGCTAAAAAGAGCCAAACAAAAGAGAGATGTACATCTGCAAGTAGTTTGAAAAATGTGTGCTGCGTTTCACTAACAACCTGAATGTTTTCTGGTAAATACCAACATACAGATCCTTACTGATTTTTGTGGTTTTCCTTGCATCTAAATTTAGAGAACAGGGCCATTAAACACAAGCATTTAGTTGCTTAGACACAGGTAGAAGCATTCTGTAGTTGTTTCTCTTCTGCAGCTTTGTCCTTAAATGCTTGGTCAGGCAAGTGAGTAAGCAATTCCCACTGTGAGCATGAACAGGGAAGTTTCCATGACGAATGTGAACTGAGAATATCACATTGTCTGATTATTATTCAAATGTCTGATCCCGACCTTCTTGTTGTGCACAACTGATTTTTCATATGAACGTTACTTTCATTCAAACATGGCTTAACCCACACACTGTAAATGGCCTGCAGCAATATGTAGGTGGCAAAAACTGCATATTTAGTCAAAATGTGCATAATACCCTTAAGTTGTTTTTCTTTTTCTTTTTTTTTTTTAAGAACATGTCACAACATATTATTGCCATTTTCTTCATTCAAAGCCAAAGAATAAGGTAGAAGAATGAGTCGAACTAACTAAACTTTAGAGGACTCTTATGGTTGGGAATTCTCTTGTGGGATTTTCTGATACAGAGCAAAACAACGCATCAAATTACAGCAGAATTGGCCAGATCCTGAAGCAACATAGCACAATACCATCATCATAATCTACTGTCAATATGATGTCCTACTTCTGAATTGTTGTTTTACTTTTTCACCAGATGTAATGAGACCCGGACCTTCTAAAAGGTTTCACGTTTATCTCAACAGTCCACAGAAAATTTTCCCAAAGGTCTTGGGGAGCATCAGTGTGTATTTTGGCAAATGTAACAAGGTGCTAAATCATGAAAACTGACCTTAGCTGAGGCAGGTTCTGGGTCCTATTGTGGCGTATTGTTCTAGAATTTCTTTGTCAACACAATGTGTTGCTTTTTAAGATCTTTTAGCCTGCTTCAGACAGTAATCAGACTTTGATAAGGCTCGGCTTATTAAATAATGAAGTGTGGTTAATCACAATTGATTCATTATTTAGCAATGGTGGGTTGTGGACTGAGGTCAATTATATTTTCACATAGTGCCAACTTTGTGTGTATAGGTCCTACGAACTATTAAAGGGGCAGTATTATGTATTTTTTGGTTCATAGTGCCATTTCACAACACAATCAAGTAACTATGTTACTTTCAGTTGTTATAAAATGCAATAATGTATCACTTAAAAGAAATGTAACTTTGTAATTTTACGCCTTGAAATTGTGTCTCTGTCTCTTTAAAAACTCCTGCTCCTCCTGAAAATCCACCTGCGGGAAGTCATCACAACAGTGCTCCTCTATTAAGCGTTTAGTAACATTTTTACGAGCGTTGCACCGAGAAGTAGCTCACATTGCTCAGCTGATGTGCAGTTCCACCAGGTGTTTGCTAATTGCTGCCAGCTAGTCTGAAGGAGCTGAGTGGGGGAGTCGCAGAGGAGAGCTGCTCTGTGAAGCAGAAGCTCCGATGATTGGAAAACTGCAGCTCCACAGAGGAGCGTTTTGCACAGCTGAACGGTTGCCACGGGAGATTAAAGGATTTCTCAAATTTGCATGAAAGAATCAAAGCAACACTCTAGGTATGCTTTTGTCGAGGGAATAACATGAGAGCTCAAATAAGTCGATTTTTCATGATACTGCTCCTTTGAATCAAATTATCATTTGGAAACTAAATTTTGTACTTTGCCATTTTACCTTTATCTGATATTAAAGTTTGTGTGACGATCTGAAAAATGTAAACAAAGAAATGCAAAAACAGCAACAAATCTTTAAAGGAGCAAGCAGCTTTCATGACACTGCATTCCCATCCCTCCTCGTGTTGCAGTAGCGTCTGCACGCTCAAAGGAAGTCTGGGAATGTGATCAGAAATCTGAAAAAAGCAGGTTCACGTCACTGCTAATTTTATCTTACAAGTCCTCTTAATACAGGAAACACAAGACTTCAAGTCGTCAGGGGCAAGTTTTTTTTTACACTGTATGAGTCAGCCTCAGGCAGAGCCATAAAAAAAAAAAAAAAAACAACATCAAGGAATTTGACTTGCATGAATGAAACTGTAATCACAGTTTTCTCACCAAGACAATGCCCAAATTATAACATGCAACAATAACTGCTCTGGAAATTATGGACAACTAATTTGTGTGCTGTGTACAAGAAAAGAGGCAGAACAGGACGCACTGTCTTAAAACGCTGGCGTCTTTCAGGATCTGCTCTAAGTTATTACAACATTTTCTACCAGGTCATTGTGTTGTGTGTTTGAGGGGAGGAAGGGAACTGCAGCACCAAGGAGGAGGATATTTTTAAGCTGAATTGGCTCATTAAGAAGGCAGACTCTGCAGTGTGGCTGTGTCTTGAAGGTGGCAGAGCAGAGGACGCTCGCCAAAATCCAGACGGTTCTGTCCAATCAGAGCCAGTTCTTGAACCTGGTTCTCTCCCACCAGTAAAGTTCAGCGAGCACCAGATCCGTTCTCTCTCTCTATCGATAGAGACTTTGTTTAGGCCACAATGCAAACTTTATGGGAAGACAAATACACTCGCCTGTAAGTTTCACACGAGCTTGACTATATTATTAAAAGTGTATTGTTCAGAACTGCCTGCTCGACTTTCTGAAACTATTATTCAGACTAAACGTGTGTGTGTGTGGGGTCATGAATCGGACTCAATCATCATCACACACTTGTTAGCTAATTGGACACTACACAATCATGGGGAAGGCTGCTGATGTGACAGATGGTCAGAAGGGAGCAACAGGTATTACCAACATCCTTTACAATGAGAGCAAATCATAAAATGTCATTCCTCCAGAAGCAGGTCGTTCAAAACATGGGCAAAAATACCGTTTCAATTTGCGTTGGGAAAATAAAGGGGAATTTTAGAGTAATTCCAGGGAGAGACATAAAAAAAAGGCTTTCTCCCTCTCTTATTTCTGGCTACTTTGTTACTTGCGTTGTAAAGTTGAGCTCTCAGGATGTTAAATAAGTTGCTAAAATTAACAATAGTAGTCATAGCTTTTTATGAAAAATCTGTCCCGTTTATATTTCTCCTCTCAGGGCTAAGTGATCTTTCCTCCACTGTCTTCTGACGTCCTTACTAGATTGTTCCTATATTGTTTTTCGGAAAGATTTGAGCTTACAACTATTTCATGGAAGGTTAAATGGAAGGAAAAAGTGTGCTCAGAAAAGTTGCGCCAGCAGCAGGAATAATCACAGCCTCCAGAGGATTGCCAAGGAAAAATCAATTGAAGAATTTTGGGGGCGCTTCACCGGCAGTGGACTCAGGCTGGAACCTGGAAGCCACATTCCTCACCATCAATCCATTCCTGAACCAGAAATGTCAGAAGCCTTTTCACCTGGGTTAAGGAGAAAAAGAATTGTACCGTTGCTCAATGGTCTAAAATGTGTCTTTTCAGCTGAAAGCAAAGTTAGCATTTCATTTAAAGTCAATGTCTTTGACTCTCTATTGAACTGTGCTTGTATCTGACTCTTTTATCCAAAGCTGCACCTTAAATTGTATTGTTGTACTGTGTAAGATACAAATCAGTTTTTGTGAGCATTGTGTCACCAGAGAAAAACTCTGACACAGAAAACCTTTCACAAATGTATTTGAATCAAGATAAAGAAGAAGAGGACAAAAGGCAAAGAAACGCAGCCAAGAATGATAAAACCATTTACAAGAGATCCTTATTAAAAGAATGTGAACCCACTAAAAAGGTTTTTATTCCTCACACAAGCAACAGAGTATCGCTGCGTGGCCCCGGCTGGCAATGTCAAAAACATGTCAGCTTCACAGAAATGAGTTGTTTTTTTCCTCTTCTTTTTGCTCTTTTGTATGAATTGTTCAGGAAACAAACTCTTGCAAACCAATGTGGACTCTCTACCCTGTCCAACTAAATGTCCTTTCACTTTAGTTTTCAGTAATGCCAAAGTCAATGCAGATGCAAAACAATAATTTGAACATTTTTAACAGAAAATTCAAAAGCCATCTCTCCTTTCACAGAGGCAATCCTTCAAAGCTAACCTTTTAATTAGTTAAATGGCAAAGCTAGAACTTTTAGGAAAGTCATAAGAGCTTCTTCTTGTTAACATAAGGTTCCACAAAAAGCTTTTTGCTTTCCTACATGCACCGTTTTTGTTTTTGTCACACAAATATTTTACATATTGTAACAAGCACTTCATAACTTTAGTGCTCAGTTCAAAGACAGATCGGTCTCTGAGCAAGCAGTGGGTGGGTTATTTCTGTAGGATTTCAGTAAGGCCTACAAATGGGAAGTGCAACAAGGCTATTGGGTCTATGAACTTGGTCTCAAGATGTGTGTAAATTATGTTTTTATAAAGGGTAAAGACGCCGCTATTTACAGATGTAGTTGAAACTTTGTCTGGAGCTACATCTAATCCAGAGGACTCCAAAGCGTTTCACACCACATTCATTAACCCATTCATACGCAAATGCATACACTCTCGGTGGTGAGCTACACTATAGCCACAGCCACCCTGGGGCAGACTGACCGAGGCGATGCTGCCACACAATCAGCAACACCAGGGCCGTTAGTAAGGCGGATGAAGTGTGTCCAAGGATACAACAGCTGAGACGGACGGAGTGGGAATTTGAACCAACAACCCAACATTTGCGTTATATCTTTATCCTACTTTTTTGATTAATTGTTACTTTCTGTTTTTTGTAGCATTGCCGAGCTTGGTGAGGGTTTCTGTCTCCTGAGACGCCATGTATTTTATATTTGCACTTTAAAGTTAACATATTGTTTTATCACCCTTGAAATTACAGCATATAACTTTTACATATTTAAAAAAAAAGTTGTTTTTTTCATATACTCTATTTACTATAACTGTCACTGTGTCGTGAGTGTAGTATCAGACAGGCTTTGGACAGGAATGCACCACTCACATTCTCTCTCTGCTACGCTACAGTTCCTTCCTGACAGCAGAGAAAAGCCACCAATGATGGCAGATAAACAACTTTCCTGTCATTGTAAGTGCTTTCTCCCCCATTAGTACATTAAGCAGAATGTACACAAGGATGATTGACAACGCCAATGGCGTCCTCCTGGCTCTGACAGGTTGTTTTGGCGCGTTATTGCAGATGGATGGATTGAAATGAAAAATGGTTCAAACGAAGTACTGACTCAAGGATGCTGAATACAGTTTTCAGCTTTGGATGTGCTGTGAGGCTGCAATCATAACCCAGACACATGAAGCGGGGGCTGAAGGCACGGGCAGATTACGATCACGACAGGCAGGGAGCAGGAAAAGATGACGGTCAGGAGGCAAAACAAGAGGTCAGGTACGTCCAGAGGACTCTAAAGCTCTTCACACTGCATTCATTCGTTTACCCATTCACGCACACACTCATTCCTGGAAGCAGAGTCGGTCATTGTTTTCTGTAAATCTTTTCAAGTAACCCGTGTGATTACAAACTCATTTCTTTAGCTTTTTTTTTTTATGCCATTTATAAAAAGGAGCTTTTATTCTTTTCCTGAAGCTGACCTATTCATCACAGTGAACTCAATCAGCACCTGACAAGAACAATAGATTTTTTTCCTGTTTCAATTTTTCTAATTCAATTCAGCTTATGTCTTAATAAACCAACCTTTTCTCAATTCAATCCGCACACACATGCACTGACAACGGAACCTGCAACCTTGTCGGACAAAGTATGCTTTTAATTTTTTTATTTTAAAACTACATCTTGTTTCACTCTCACCTATTGAACTTGCAGACAGAAGGTTAGGATCCGTATTTGGCTTATCTCACACAGATAGCAAAAACATCTCCAAATGAGTTTGTTTTGGGTCAAAGTCTTATCAGCCGCAGTGAGAATGCGTTATCTGTTTTTCCGCTTTTCTTTCCTGCTCTTGCTCGTGGAGCTGTGAGTAGCATTTGTAGAAATAGCAATAGCGTGGCCGCTGGTCTTCAGATGGTCAAACAACTTGTTTCTTGTGGGGAACTCGTCGTTGCAGGTAACGCAGCGGAGGTTTATTTCCTTCTGGAATTGCAAACAGGGAAATCACACTTCAATTGTTGCAACATTTTCAGCCACAAAGGAACTCAAATTTAGGCCCGGAAAGAAAGATAAAAAAAAAAGGGGGAAACAGAAACATCTCAAGTGAACACAAAGTGACTATTTAACGCTAAACAGTATGTGAACTGTGTCTTTTTGTACGAACCTCAGGAATCTGTTCAGTGTGTGGTTTGGTGTTCTTTGCCTTGTCTTTCCCGCCTCCCTTTTTTCCTTTCGTCTTTTCAGAGCTGCTGAAAGAACATTTACGTGACAGATAAAAATCTAGTTGTAAACTGCAGGCATGTGTCAGATAATATGTCGAAGGAAACTACACCGAATATTATGATAAGTAAATAGACTTTCTGGGCCTCATTCAGCATCTGATATCCTGTGTCCGGATGTTTTTGCGTTGATAAAATAATGTGTGAAGATTACACCTCTGCATTTTTTTTTTTCTATAAAAATAATTTTTAAAAAAAACTGTACGATGTACTGATATTGCTCATGTTGTTTTTCCCCACAGCCTCAGGAAACTCTTAACAGAGTAAATTTCAACAGATGTCGTTGACAAATTGCAGTTACTCATCTTTGTAGTGTACTGAAATTTTCACTGTAATTCACTCACTGCAGTAGACAAAGTGAGACACTCAAGAAAACATAGATTGTAAAAGAATCTGTGGTGGGGAAAAAAATCAGCTGCATTTTGTCAAACTAAGAGGTTTTAGACAAATCTAAATCTAAAATAACTGGAAATCTAAATTTAGATTTCCAGTTATTTTCCGTTTAACCAATAACTTGAGACAGGTGTCCTTAAATAAGTAATAAGATTATATATATATATATATATATATATATATATATTATATATATATATATATATTATATATATATACATATAAAGCTAACTGAAAGTACTCCTTGCATATTTACGCGGGTATTTTGTTGGTCTGCGCATGTCGCTCATCAGAATAAAGTCAGAGGAGTCTGGCTGGGCTGCTGCAAGATGTTGATGTAGATCTGCTCAGATTAATAAAACCTAAATCTGTTCAGGCTCCTTCAGTTTTAGGGCTTTGCCTCTCAGGATCATGAATGCACTCTTTGATAGCCAAAACAAAACAGTTGCTTGTGAATAATTAAAATCACATTGCTGCAACAGCTCATAGAATCATGTTCAGCACCAATATTTTTGAGGTTTTGTAGCCGGAGAAACCCAACATTTTGAACTTTTGCTGAAATCTCAGACTTATGCTGTTTAAAATGCCTTTTCCATATTTTTATATTGATATAAAATTACTGTTTTGCTGTATGATCTCAATGTTGCTTAAGAAAACAACTTTAGGGACCTAACCTGACATTTTAATGCTTTTAAATACAAGTCCAAGTATTTCTTTTAAGACAATAATCTATATTCAGCTTAAGAACTCTGTAAGCTTTTCAAATGAGACATAATAAATTGAGTCATAAACTTTAGGTTTTTAAAATGAAGCCAGTATTATGTCTGTGCCACAACATCAATTTTTTTCCCCTAATGAGCAAAATTCAACTCAGTTCCAACCGTACAGCCTTTTCCATGTTGCCGCTATATTTGTACTCCTTAGGCCAATCTAAATTTTCTGAGAACCTTTCGAAGAGTAAATTATTTTTATATATGAAACTACATGTAAAAGAGTCTCAATATTATTGCATAATTTTCATTAAATGTATGTTCAATGTTATTTGGCTTTTATTTGTTTATTCTTCTTCTTGGCTTAAAAACAGGAAATCGGAGAAGCTGATTTACTTCTCTCAAATCTTAAACAAATGACAGGAAATTCCCATTATCTTTGTTTTTTGTTTGGATTACAGTTCTTCTGTCTGAGCTGTGCAGAGCAAAAAGATGACATCACAAACCGAATAACATCTTAATGGAATATAATTGGACTCTGTTGCTTGATGTGCATCACGCAGAAAGAGAAATGTAGCCCAAAACTGCTCTTACTTGACCCTTAATAATGGAGAGCTGTTCATCAGTGAAGGCAGTTATTCTAGGAATTTCAGGTAACAGCTGGATCAGAAAACGGACAGGGATTAAAGAAAAAAAAAAAAAGTGAACTGACCTTTTGACTTCTGCAGAGGGAAGGTCCTCCTGCTTTTCAGGTTGTCCAGGATTTTCTGAGCTTTCAGGGACTTCTTCCTCACAGGTGGTCTGTGAAGGTATCGTCTCCTCCTCCTCTTTAACCTCAGCGGTAGTTTGCTGTGCACAAAGAGAGCATCAGTGGGATGCCGTAAGACTCATGAGCAACTTTTGGTAACCTCGACACCTCCACACTTTCACTCAGAAATAGGCAGAACGTTTCCCACCTGTACTACTTTCTGCTGTTTCTTTTTCCTCTTTTGCTTTTTTGACAACCTGAGGATGTAGAGAGAAAGACTTCAGTGACATAAATAAAAGCTACATATTTACAGTGAATCACCATACACAAACAACCGAGACCACCTGCTGATTTTTTTTTTTTTTTTCCGACTTGTTTATGAATAGATTTACTTTTGCCTTGGCTGTTCCTCCTCTTCCTCTTCCTCCTCCTCATCCTGCAGGTCATTTTCTTTCTCCCCATCCTCCTCTCCGTTCAAGAAGAACGAATTGTCTTCTTCCTCCAACTGTTGCCGTAGCAACACCACCATCTCTCGGTGCTTTTTGGACTTTTCATGGTTTTTCATGCTGCAGAGCAGAAAAAAAAAAGAAAAGAAAAAAGAGCGAAATCAATATTTGGAAATGTGACTAAGAAAGGAACACGAATCCAAATCGTAGATAAACAAAAACCTTACAGTTTAGTAAATGTGTTTACTGATTTCCATATTTCATTTCTTTTTAATGGTACCAGTAGGACCAAGAAGCAGAGATAGGGCTGCAATTGCTTTTTTTCAACTACATGCAACATGAACAGCTTCGCACCAACAGCAAGAAGAAGTACAAAGATGGAGAGCTATTTATTTACAGCGCCTTGCACAAGTCCACACACAACATATGCCGTTTCACATTTTACAGAATCAAGTGTGACAGATAATCAAGTAGATCAAGATTGCTAAATGGAAGTTAAGCTTTTTGAAGTTGTACAAAAATATTTCATAAATCTCCAAATTACTGCGTATTTATTAACCCTTGAAATGTGGATCCGTGTGATGGCTAAAGGTCACGGAAATGAAAACCTGGACAGGGGAGGGTGGTACGTTTGCGTGGAAACTCACGCTTTATCTGATTTGAAAGACTTGTCACAAGCTGGGCAGTAGAGATCATCGTAACAGTCGATGGTCGGGTCGTCGTCGTTCGGCTGCTCAGCATCTGTTAGGCGCAAAACAGCAAAACACCATGCATGAGTGTTTTGCTCATGACTTTCACATAAATGTCATGAATGCAAACAACAAATTTTTAAATGGATTTTAAATGGTCTTAATAAGAACGTAAGACAGATCAAGACAGATTTTACTGGATGTATGAGGTTTACAAGCAACACATCGTTTCCTCCAGATTAAATTCCTCCTGCTGATAAAGATATATTGTATAAATATCTGCCTGAAAAGCCCCATTGGGATATTACCTATTAGGATTCATATTCCTTTGCAGAAGAAGCAGCCACAAATTGGTCGTTTCATCATTTTTAGTTTTTATTTGAACCATAAAGTACGTTATTATCTTCTCTAGGTAGCAAAGTTTTCAACAATTTCAAAATTGTGTTTAGGAGTGAACATAAAGTACTTTTATAGCTGTCATCATAATGTAATCACAATCGGGGGCGGGGGGAGGAGGGGGGGTTTGTTATGTCTGTTAATTTATTAGTAGCTGCACTTTCATCCAACTCACTTCCCTTTTTTCCATGTAAACCAACCACTTTGCACACAAGCATTTGTGATGTGCCACCAAGTGCTAACATCACTCATATTTATTTTGTATGTTGTTTTCATCTTCGTTTAACCGTCTTTCCGTTGATTATAGATCTGATTCCTGTTTCTGATCAGCCAGTTGATCTATGAAAGATGATAATCTACTGACTTTCCATTAATAATCAAGTTATTTTAAAAGAACTGCTCAGAGACTAATATGTAATGATTCTATCTGTGTCTAGAAAATAAAGATACTCTCAACTACTCTTATATATTAACCTTGTTTTATAATAGGATATATTTTTGTCAAGTCTACAGTTTACATATTTGAAAGGCAAAACACAAGTCTGTAGTTTCTTTACCTCCGTCTCTTTCACTGTTTTTCTGAAATGTGTCCACATCCACCTCCTCTTCCTCACTCTCGGATGTGTCTCCAAACTCCTCTCCGTACTGAGCTTCAATCTGTTGCAGCTCCTTCTCCAGCTCAGACATTGCGGCCCAGCTCTGCTCCTTGTACTCCTCTGCCATCCTAGGATGGAAACACAGAAAAACACTGGAGCAGGGACAGACATAGGAGAGCAGCTGCATTCGTCCCAACACTTTCATCTCAGCCTACTTGGCTTGTTTGAGCTTCTGCTGTCGCCTCAGCTCCGCCATCTTCTTGATCTTCTCGGCGTTCTGCTCCTCCACCAGCTTCCTGTGGGCCTGGACGCGCCGGTCCCTCTTACGGACGAAGGCCACCAGTTGCCGCACCAGCTCATTGCGCTCCTTTCGAGCCTTTTCCCTGGTCTTCTTGTTCTCCTTCTCCATGGCCCTTTTTTCCCAGCGGTTGGACGCCTGCCTCGTGTCGTACTCCTCCTTCCAAGCAAAGTTCTTGCGAGTGCAGAAGCTCTGCCAGTAGGCGTAAAACACATGGACTACCTGTAATATGGAAAAGCAGGCTGGTTAGGAAAACAAACTGGCTGCCATCGTTTCAAATTTGAATGTCAGGTGACATCGATCCAAACTACTTCTCAGCATCTTTCTCATAGTTTCAGAGCGCAACTGGTTCATAACACGTTTCAGGTGTTTCCCTGGTCAAAAACATGAACCTTTTTACGTCTGTGTAAACACCCAGACTCCATGACAGCTAACGTGTTGTCAAAGTATTCACACCACTTAGCTTTTTTCACATCTTATTGAATGAGAACCATTTTCAAAAGCTAAACTCAGTTTAACAAAATATGCCCGTAATAGCTCATTATGACAAAGTGAAAACATCTTTTCATGCATTTTTTGTCAATTTACACCATGTAAGCATAGTAGCTAAAATAATATTGACGCTATGACACTTAAAATAGACCTGAGGCGAGTCCGATTTCCACCAATCACCCTGGTGACGGTCAAGTTGGAATGATTGGTACAGCATATCAAAGCAGAAGCCAATCAAAAGAGAAAACTGAACTGATCAAACTGGCATAAATCAACACAAAAAGAGAAAATATCCTAAGATAGCTAATAAAAACACACGCAGGAAGACATGAAGCCATGGGCGTGTGAATACTAAAAACAATGACTTAACAAGCCTTTGTTAATTTTTAAAAAAGCTTCTTTGCATTGTCATTTTTGTCTGAAATGCACAATGATTCAACATCACCTCTACATGAGCCATTTAAAAAGAAATAGAATGGCCAGGTGAACGTCTGATTGAGCTTTAACAGGCCAGTGATGCTTTAAAAGCCTCCAAAATTTCATCAGCATTTCTCCACTGCACTTTTAAGGGGTCATTACGTTTTTGCCTCACTGTGAGATTCTCAGTCATTTCAAGACATTTTATTGAAACCACTGCAATGCTGATAACAGTCATTAGCCTAGACATAATAATCATGACGTTCATGTACTTCCTGCTCTAATTTCATCACGGTGAATCTGCACAGTAAAAGGCCAGACAATGCGAGTTTGAAAAGTTGTGAAATTGTGGTAAACGCTGAATGACGCAGCCTAAATCTGTCGCGAGCCCTTAAGGGCTGAACCTCGAGGAGAACCTGGGGGACGGACGTTTCAGTATGGAGCTTACTGTATCATAATCGCCCTGAGAATCTCCAAAGGGAGGAAACCCTTCTTCCTCTTCCTCGTCGTCCATCCTGCTGTGCTCCATCTCCTCCTTAACAATGGACTCAAAAAGATTCCTGTAAACCGTGTAAAAGCCCTGGGGAGAAAAAAAACACACCAAAGGAACAGTGAATTAGAAAATCAGGGTTCTGAGAGGCACCAGGAATTTCCTTTCCCACAGTTTAATGGCACTGCCAGCCTAAACATGGGATGATGCTGATGAAGGTGGGCGAACACACATGGGGAAGAACATATGTCGCTTCTGTCACGGGAACGTCTGCGGCAGATGCAAATCCACTTTTCCAGTTGATAAAACGGCAACACGGTCACAGCAGGTCAGCGTCGGTAGAAGTGGAGTATTAAGAAGCCAACATTACACAAAAACTCAAAAAGTTTATCAAAATTCTATGTTTGTCTTTTTTTTTTTTTTTTTAGGTGGCATTTAAAAAAATTTCCAAAAATAAAACATTAACGTATCCAACATAATGTAGTCAGACACACAACAGTGAACCTTTATCCTTGAAATCTTAACTACCCTGATCACTCAATCATCCCCGGGGCTGTTAGCTGCCTGAGTTTCCACTGCAGGAACTCTGTATGGAAATGACAGAGTCTTTCCTCCTACAGTTTGCAGGACCTGATGCAGAGCATGTGAGGAGAAAGAACAATTTATTTTTGTATGTAACAAGTTATGATTTTCAGTAAGAAATCAATATTTGTTCATTTACTCTGAACTTGATGCAAAGGTGAAACTACCAGTTTTTAAAGGTACTTTCAAAGATGCAAATTTTCACCCAAGAAGAGGCATGAAGACACCCCATGGCTGGAATAATAACCTAATCTCCTAGAGCAGTAACTTTTTATAACCGTGCTCACAGTTTGAAACAAAATAAAATTCTCCTTGAGCTCGGAAACGATGTGTACCAAAAACGATAATTTACTAAATTCATTTTAAGGCCCCCCCGAGTCCCAAACATACGCTTAGTTTCTTTAAATTTTTAAATCTCCTCACAACACACGTTCAACTACGCAAGACCCGGAAAACATTTAATTCAGTATGGTTAGTGAACATTGATTGTGAACCCACATTTTCCTGATTCAGTTTCAATCTTCACAACTCTGTGAGCTCTTGGGTCTCGGCTTTATACTGCTCTGGTTTGGGCAACAAGAACAATAAGAGACAACATTTGGTTTGTCTATGTTATTTTTCCACATAGACAAACATTTATTATTCTAAGGCAGTAGTCGTGTTTTAAATATTTAACCTACAAAAAATCTGACTGATCTTTTAGATCTGGGAACATTAATGTTTGTCCTTATCACTTGTGTAGAAAATGTGCGAGTTGCAAGTGAGATAATCATCACTTTCATGGTGCTGATCACAAGGAGATCATGTATTTTTCTTCATTTTACGCATTTAAACACTAAAGGGACATGCTGACAAACGAGAGGTGTTATATTGCACAAAATTTACCACTAATTTATTGAGATATGAACCAGGACCACCGGAATATCAGAAGTGCAACAAAATACTTAAATCCTTTCGCTATAATTTTATTGTATTGAAGCCATAATGGAAACTCTACCAAGGACTGTTTAGAGATATCCAACTTTAAGAGTTCAAAGTTCAGGAGTTATATTTCAACTGAAAATTAAAAAAAATTTTTAAATAAATCCAACTTCAAGTACAAACAAATAATGCACTCGCCACCAATCAGAAAAGCAGTGCATGTTCACTCCAACACAGGATAATCTCAAAAGCACTATTTCACCACTATAGGCATTATGTGGGGTAAATTTCTGTATGTCAAGTTTTTACTGTGGTAGATGCAATGGGAACAGAGATGGAGCCCCAGAAAAGTACCTGCAAAAGGTCCCTGAAATGGAGATGTGCATAAATCTGGGTCTTTACAGTAGAAGCAAATTAAAATTAGTCTTCATATAAAAGTGAACCTCAGCTTAATCCGAAACACTTCTGTAAATTACAAACCATTTTCAAAAGTCAGACTATAAACAAAAACGTTTGCACCTTTTCCTCCAGGTTTCTTTACGAAAGCAACTGGTGAAAATGTTAGCTGGATTTTTCATTATGCGTCTCTGTTTTTACCACTGATGGACAGCAAACCCTGCATTTGGCCTGACAACTGAGATTATTAGTGTACAAACAAACAAGCAGATGGGATTAATGGAAGAAGGTGCTCTCTGCTGGCCAATATATAGAATGCATTGGCAAGTTTATAGAAGGAAACCAGTGAGCATGTGCAATCTCTTAAACTTTGTGTGCGTAAAAGTTCAAGTACTTTACTCTCCATAAAGTAAAAGGAAAGGTTGTAGTCTTGCTGTCCTATCTAAAACCCACACACAAACTTTGAATTCTGTAAAGTTTTTGCCAACTTTAAAAAGAGAGGATTAAAAAAAAAAAGTTACTTTGACAACTAAAATAGAAGGGCAAAAACAAGTGTAGGTGTCTAAAGGGTGAGATCTTGTTTGGATTGATAGGATAAAATGTTTAAAGAATCTCTGGCTGTCCATTTACCAGAATTTGTCGACTAATTATAGTTTAATGTTTTGTGAACAAAAAAAAAGCAATTGAACGAGTGAAAAATGTCTGTTCTGAATGATATTAATGCAGTCAATAAGATTGGCTAATAATCAGATAATTGTCTCTATTCAAATTTTTGTGCATCTCATTCGTCAAGGATAAATTGATTTTTGTGTTGTGTAATTTTTGGTTTGCCTGCCACCTCTGTTAGTTCAGCCGCTTGCGACAACAGGTTGTTGTCACTGTACTGGATTAAGTCATACAAAAAGCAGTGGAGTTAACTTGGCAAGGAATAATGGAGGACATTTAAACAGCGTTAGCAAAAAGTTCTTATTTAACTGCATTCACATAATCATGCATTATTCTTCAGAGAAGAATAAGGAAATTGTTCAATATTCTTTACAAAGAATGATGAAGAACATTTAAACAGCACAAGCAAAAGGTTCCTATCTAACTTCATACACATAATCATTGCCCCTGCAGCCACAGATGCAAAAGTCCAAACCTTCTCATCATCTCCGTATCCTGAGTAGCATGTGACTGTGAAGTACTGCAGGAGGTCAATGCTGTCGTCTTCATAATCGCCGCTTAGGCCTCCTTTCAGCAGAGCTTCTCTGTGATTGTCATACCTGGTCCACAGGAGGAGAAAAGGTCGTCAGTAAGGGTCAAAGAGCTGCTGCGGCTAACACTCGCACAACCAGGAGGAGGGCTGAATTCACCAGGCTCTCTCCTGCGGATCGCTGAGGACATCGTAAGCTGCTTGAATGAGCTTGAACTGCTCTGCGGCCTCCTCGGCGTTCTCCAAGTTTTTATCTGCAAATTTCAGAGGAAAAGCACACAAAGTGATATTTAGGTGAAGTATTTCACCACATGCTGCTTTCCATATGTGAAAAACCATTTGCTCTCCGAACTCAGTATCTCCTTTTGCAACTTTTGGCAGAGAAAACTTACAACGTTTACTACTTAGGCCCACTTTGTGTAGATATTTCTTTTAGCTCAGCCATACTGGAGGGTTTTCAAGCTTGACAGGCCAGCTAAAGGTCATACCACATTTCAATCCAATTATTATTTTTTTTTTTTTTTTTGCTTCCTTCTGAATGAGTTATAGATGCACTGAAAGTTATTTTTACAGGTCGACCGATCCAAGGAAGTTTGCTGCTCTTCCAGTTTCTTCATTTACAGATGTCTCTTAATTAGGCTCACAGAAGGTCAAAAGCCGTATAAATTATTTTGTAAGCTTTTCCGACACTCTCTGTGAGCTGTCTTATCTCATTAGATTCTGTATCAGGTGGCAAAGTCCTTCAAAATGACTGCAGATAGAGTTGAGCATGAATGAATCACACTTTATATGCATATGAATCAGAAAGAAATATTACAATGATCAGTGGGGTTTAATATTTTTTCTTGCTCTTTACTATACAGCTTAAAATAAGGCTTTTTGGTCTTGACACATTTCGGTGTTAAATAAATCATATAATCTTTCTCTCTGCATTGTGGCATTTAGTCAATAGAAATATTGACCTGAAACAAGAGTTGTTTTAACTTCATATGGTGGGAGGGGTGGGGATCTTTTTTATTCATATTCAGTGTGTTTGAACTGTATGCAGTGAGTGATATTTGATTTGAAAATGCAGCGATATACAACTGAAACTACACATTTCCCTTAATTCATAAAAACTATATCTATTGGTGTCCTTTGGAGATTGAACAACTAATAAGTCACAGTGTGCTGGTCAGAGCAGATTACCAACATGTTTTAGATGTGTTTCTAGTCCATCACAGGACTTTCAAATTGCTGAATTGCGTCCTCAGCACATCGTTAAGTTCTACAAGAGCTGATAATAAACCATTTATTGATTTACAGATGTTGAAAAAAGGAAGCACTTATACAAGACAGAGCTGGAGTGGGCCACATCAGACGTATACAAACATCTGGATGATGACATGCATGCAGCTCACCTGGGTGCCATTTTAAGGCTAATTTCCGATAAGCTTTCTTCAGATCATCGTCTCCTGCGTCTCTTTTTACTCCCAACACTTCATAGTGACACCTCATCTTCATGGAAACCGCCACACTTAGGGATAAGATACACTGCAAATACTCACGTTTCCCTACACGCGGCTAATATTAGCATTTGGTTACCTGTTTCTCTTTTAAAACATCGTTAGTTTATCTTATCCAAGAACGTCAGTTGTCTTATATATATATATAAGGATATTACATATTAAAATATGAAAACCGGTCCTTTTCGCCAACATGCAGCCTTTAAATAGGCTTAATTTGTGAATAATATTGCGGCGCTGGTTAACAGCCGGTATGGGTAGAATGTTCTTCTTCGTCCTCGTCCTCTTCTTCTTTGCTGGGTAAGGCAGAATAGACGCATCAAGGGTGTGTTGCTGCCACCTACTGTTCGTCATTGTCCAAGTCAACAATATTATCCCACTCATTTCATACAACGCGTCTCATTGACGTGTTTCTTATCATTTATGAAACTGAGATAATTTCTTCTGTTAGAAGAGATGAGAACAACATTAAAACAAATAGCAAATTTTAAAAGCTTAGCCAGACATAAATAAATACAAATAATAAAAAAATACATAAATACATCAAGACCAAATAGCTGAACTTCTAAACACCTTGAATTACTTTATTCTTTTTGTAAGATGTCAGATATTCTTGCAGTGCTCATTACAGAAAACTCCTTGCAAAGTTTTTCTTCTGACTCTCACTAATTTTCTGTCAGTTCCGATACTATTTGTGCCTGTCAGCTAAGCACAAAATTACTCATAAACCTGGCAAAAATTATTTTTATTCAATCAAGAAGCTTTTCTCAGATCAGTGAAAAGACAGATATATACCAAAACCTAATAAAACAGCTCATAAATTATATCTGCAGCTCAACTAGATTCCCAATAATATTATTTCTCTCTGTAACGGCCCAGTTTTATAACCATTTGTAATCAGCAATTACTTTTTGATGTATTGCTGAATTTACATTAGGGCATACTGTGCTGCTTCTGAAATATTTTAGCTTTTAGATATGGCAATAATCAGGCTTGCCTGTGATAAACGAAACTGAACCAAAATGGTTAATCACAATTAGGTCATCATAATAATGGATCAGTTCTATTTTCGCATAGTACCAGGTTGGCTTGGATGACTTTTTCTTTTTAAAGAGAAAAACTTTTCTCCCAGCAACTGTTTGAAAGAAGTCATACTGTTGAGCATTTTCTAATTCCTAGGACAAACATATAATGTCCTAACTGAAGTTGTAGAGTCTTGCGTTTATTTTTTTACCCTTCTTTGATTATTGCATGGTCTAATTTCAGAAGTCACAAATGTATTTTTCCTTGTTAATATTTTGTTCCACTGTTTGAAAATGAACTTCAATGTTTCTGAAAAGGCACAATAATCTACTTTCCAGAATGACAGCTGCAATTACTTTTCTGAGGCTTAGCTATTGAATGCTTTCCTTGGCATTATGTGCAACTGTATGCTTTAGGTCAGAACTGACCAGGATTCTTTTTCCTATTAGTTAATGAATAGTGCAAGGAGTATTGTATGCCTGTTCAACACCGTTGTTGTTTGTTCTCGTTTTCTTTAAAAAGAAAATAATATAAGTAGCACAAGCAAACAAAAAAAATGGACAATGTACAAAAGAAGTCACTTTTCTGCAGACTTTTACTAAAAACCCAACGTTATTCACTCACAAATTTCCCATTAGTGTTTCATACTGCATAACACCTTCAATTCAGGTTTTACTTGTTCGTGTTAATCATGTACCAGCCGATAATATTTGACTTGCACCTGAGAAGTCATGGAAGTAATAGTTACTTCGTGGCAATGATTGGTAGCTGCTATATTTAGTAGATTTAGTGAGTCTAGTCAGTTTCAGTAAAATGTAACTTTATTAACCCTACAACATTGTGTGCTGCAAATTCAAACAGGATTTCTGAGCCCACAGTCTGTGATTTGCTTTCCAACATAAAGCATCACAATGCTAAATTAACACTTATTTTTTTCAATTACAACATCTTCGCTGTATAACGTTTTTAGGAAATTGATCGAAATGGTTTCAAAAGGCAGGCTACGCCTCTTTTATTTAATTGGATGGGCAGGGAGTCACTGGGGGATTCTTATTGGTTGATTATTAAAGCGCTCACCTTAGCTCGGGCAGTGATTGGCTGAACTGTCAGAAGGAAGTCAAGTGTCACAACATTTAGGCTTTTAAGCTTTGAGTTCAGAAAAACGATCGGAATCAATCGAAAACACATAAGATCATCATATATATTTTCATATTTCTACATTGTGTCTCGGATGAACCACCCTGGCGCGGATTAGGTTATCCGGCCGTCAATCCACCCCCGATCCGTGCCGAGGATTAGATATCGCCGCGGACTTTACCACCACCGCACGGCAGAGAGAGGAAAGTGGGACTTTATTGTTAAAAGCTAGCCAGCTAGCTTTTCAAAGCGGCTTGTTTGTGTGGGTATACCGCGGACCGCAGGCTATATGGCAACGAATTACGAGCCTATATATGGACTTTCAGAGGACGAGGTAAGCTTGAATTGTAATTAAGGTGTTATTGAAATGCAGAATGGAGTCTTTGGGTATTATGAGGGGCTGGGAACAGAGATGGCTAACGATTAGCCGTGAGTGGGGCTACCAAGCCCTTACCCACGGCAACATTCCGCTGTTGTGTTCAGGTTGCTGTCAATTCCCGCCACGGGTCTCTGTCGTTTTGTCCACTTGCATTTATTTCATAATAAGGTATAAACTAAAGGCCAGCAAACCACGTTGTGCTAAAGTTTTGAAATCAAAGTCTCCACTTTGTATCCTGCATTACACCATATGTAGCTGTTTCTGGGAAATCAAATTATCTTTCTTTTTTTTATCTTTAGCTTGAAGGGTTAAACCTACAAGTGAGACCTAAACACACCCTGCTAGGTAGTAATCACGATGAACAGACCGCTGAGAGAGTGAAATAGAGGCATGCACGGTCATATGAGGTCACTCTGTGGACACCTTGTTGGCTTTAACCTAAAACCTACAAAAACACACAGTGGTAATTATAGATGAAGTGCACATGTGATTATATATAACTGCATCACAGTCACGAGTCTAGCAGAAGAGCATCCCTACTTCATGTACCTCTTTGACATTTTCAGTACAGTCACAAGAAGCATGGTGTATGGAGATTTTTTTATTTTATTTACTTTTGGCATTATTCTCAAATGTGACTCAGAATAACTGATGAGTAATCAAAGTTGTCATGTTTTTTAATTGTTGGTACATTTGGATGATACTTTGGGAGCACATTGCGACTGCTTGTGTCAAATACAGACATAGGTGATATTGATTTAAAATTTTATCACAGTATTTTATGGCAGTCGTTGCTATGGTGACTGAAGTAGCAGTAAAAAAGTATTTTAAAATTGATTGCTGTCGTAGTTTCTGGGTGTTTATCAGTGACTATAGAGCACTGGTCTAAATGAATGTATTACTCAACAGTGCACTCATCCCATTGTCTCATGATTTGATTAGACCTGTTCAGTGATAGGATGGATAAAGGTTATTTATTTTCTTTTTTTTTCTAGGTCATTTCAGGTGACAGTGACTGATCAATGTTCTTGATCAGAGCGATATTTGGTTGCCTGATATGTTACGTGTAACTGCCATGCTGACTAGTTCTGCATGGCCCGTTGGAAGGACTTTTCACTTCCCTCGATGCACATACAGGGGCTGTATTTTTAGCAGCTGAGATGCTAAACGCTGCAAAGAGGTGTGGAGACTTTGTGATGGACAGAAAAGAAAACGGTGAAAGAGTTGGTTAATCATAGTTGATATTAATCCTGCAACATTCAGCTGTATTATTGTGATTCCTAGAAACTGTGCAGGCGTACTCTTGACCTAAATTAATTGCCTCATCATTCCTGATCTGACATCTAATCCTATAAGGCAGGGTTGCCCAAGTTCAATCCTCGAGAGCTGGCTGCGTCTCTGCTCCAGCACACCTTAATCTAATGAACAGACCATTACCATGCCGCTGTAGAGCTGAATGACTGTGGTTAGCGAATTCTGCTATTTGATTCAGGGATTTTAGAGCAAGGATGCAACTAAAAGCTGCAGGATGGTAGCTGTCGATTACTGGTCCTGGGCACCCTTGATACAATGGATACTTCTGAGATGATTGTATTTCAAAATGGATATTAGTGGTACAAATGGTGAGATGTAGTGCATAGCAACAGATGGGGTTGAACATCAGAGGATAGTTGTAGATACTCAAACTCTTGCAATTTCTCTGGCATTTGGTTATCAGGACGTTAAACCATAGATACATTATAACAATTATGTTTTCTTTTTGCAGGATTTGAAAACTGAAACTAACTAGTCTCATGATATTCCATGTTGATACCACAAACTCCCAAATGTCTAATTTCAAATATCATCATTGCAATATTAGTTTTTTTTAAATTATATGACAGGAGGGGGTAAGAATTCAATATTTGTTTACTGTTATATTCCTAGTAATTATAAATTCACATTTTGCATAATATTCAGCATATTAGTTGGACTCTCGGCATTGCAGATGTTTTGAACCGGACAGGTGATGGTGACCAAAATTACAAACGGTACAGAAAGATGGAAGCATCATATTGACAGATTTATGGAAGAGTAGTGTGGAAAACCTGGTTCCACTGAAACTGATATTGTTATGGCAACATTCAAAAATAACACTGCAGTTGCATGATTTCCCTATATTGTTGAGCAGAAGGTCATTTAGATCTGCAACTTCACACAAATACCACCTCTCTGCATATTAAGTTTTCCAAATACCGCAACACTATCAAGGAAATTTTAAAACAGTATGACGGCAGAAGATTTTTTTTCTGTGTTTTACCACAAAAAAGAATAGACAGAAACGTCTTATCGATTCCAGTCTCAAAATTCAAAATGGCTGCCACAAATTTAAAACAGTTCTTTTAGCTGTTTTTAAGCCTTTGGTACCTGTTTGAAGGAAAATTCAAAGTGCTTGATGTACTCAGCTTTGTGGGTGTTTGGTACACTTTATATCGCCTCAATCAAACATCACTAAGTTAATCCAAGTGGTGGGGTGCATCTTAAATAAAATCATTGTCTGAGTTAAGCCAAATGGCTCAAGTGTGCCGCAGGTTTTGGGTATGGCAGTGCACAAATTTAATGCTGATTGTTAAAAACACAAGCAAGAAAAACTGCACACACTGATTCAAATCTGTTAAGGAATGCTCCAGTCTCATTACCTAAATACTCATCATATTAGATTTGTTTTTTTCTTAAACTGAGTTGATGAAGAACACTTGTATCTTTGGCAGTGGTGCATTGCATAATTCAGTGCATTAATTGTAGCACAAAAATAAACACTTTAAATTTCAAAACAACAGGTCCATTGAAAAACACCTGAAACAGTCTGGACTCCCACTAGCTGCTCTTCATTAGAACTAGTGAAACCACCACTGTTGGTTTAATTACAAAAAAAAAAAAAGACAAAAAACCTCTCGGAGAGAGATGAATGCAAATACTCATAGAATGATCAGCATTTTTTTTTCTTCTGTTGTTGAACTTTATTCTTTCTCTGTTAAGTTTGACCTGGAGACTAGTCGGTGCATCTGGCAGATTGAAATCTGTCATGGGTTTACAAAGTTATGAGATAATTTCCTCTGAAAATCAAATAAAGGTCCTCTGTCGTCTTCTTGTTTTGCAGCATGAAACGCGAGTGCTACGGGTCAAAGTTATTGCAGGAATTGATCTGGCGAAGAAAGACATCATCGGTGCCAGGTAACTGTTTTCGATGTGAAACATTTCACTCGAGTGCAAAGATTATGGAGAACTGTCCATTGCACCAAGTTCAAGTAGTCTGATTCTCTGTCTGCTTAAAATTCAGCCATTTAAACTGTTTAGATGAAAGAAATATTAGCGTCATTACTGTAATAATGTGTGGGATGTATCATAATAAAAGTCGGCTATTAAACCAGTCTCAAGGCTTTAGCTATTGTGTTCAGCATCCTGCTCTTTGACTTCTAGGGTCTTCCTATTGTTTGTCCTTTCAACCCTGGAAAGATCTTTGGAGCAAAAAAAAAAAAAAAAAAAAAGTAGTTCGCAACAAAGACCTTGAACTTTCAAGTGTTAATCAATTATTACCTACTTCTCCTATCCTATGCATAATCCACCGTAATTGCACGTTTTCTGGATAGAAGACTTTGACTAATAATTAAACGTGCCGTGTACCTTCTTGCATGTGAGAACGTGCAGATGTTAACTTTTCTTTGAGAATGTTTTGTTCATCACTGTCCTCCGTCTGTGAACTGTGAATGTAACATTACACAATACACCTTCTGCAGATTTGTGCTCTGTACTTTGAAAGTGCTTGTAACACTTGTACTTTTTCATGTTTTGTTATAGAACAACCACAAAAAACAATGTATTTCCATTTTTTATTTTATTTATTTATTTATTTTTTAAACACAAAGGAGTAGGTCGCAAAGGGTGGCTTGGGTTTAATTTCAGCCCAATTTACACTTAAAGAAATGGAGTCCACCTGTGCATTTATAAATACAGCTGCTCACTGAAGGCCTCGTAGGTTTCTTGGAGAATATTAGTGTACAAAAATAACTCCACGAAGACCCCGGAGCAGACCAAGTTTGAAGGATAACGTTGTGGAGAAGCTTAAAACAAGTTTCTGTTTCAAACTGGTCCAGACATCCAGCTAAAGTATCCAATCAAGGAAAGCAATAACCAATAGCTTCTTTCGCGAAACATTTCAGTAATCAACCTGCGCAGACAATCCACCTCTGGCCGTTTATGATTCACGAGTCGAGATGAAGATGTCCCTCACAGCTGCAAGTTCTCAGAAATTAAACCGGCACTTTTGGGCAACAGGAGGTACAATGGGAGTTTCATAATCAGTACCACACATAAAATGAGTATTCCCATACTGTTCTTTTCAAAACAGGAGATGCAGATGAGTTCAGTGCAGCGATCCTGCTGTTGGACAAGCAAATGCTTTAGTAATGTGTATTTTCCAGGCACACTAAGCCATTTTATGACACAATCAAGTCACTATTCTTCATTTGTAATAAAAAAAAATACTTTGCAATTTGATGCCTTGAAATTGGGTCATCAGATCATTGCAACTATGTGGAGTTTGCATTTCCAGCCATGCAGGAAATGCAGCAAACCTCTAGAAGAATGTGATGTGGTCAAATCCAACCATGATTGTACCTTTTGTCCTACATACAACACGCTAAGTTTGACAGTAAACAACTCACCTCACTTTGAAAGACATTGCAAACACCGTCGGTAGCAACATCATGCCACTGGTCACAGTTGAGTATTTAGGAAGACGGACTAAGGTCAGAATGGGTAATGCTGTAGGAAAACCTGTTGGATGATGTAAGATAATGAGGTGGAGCTTCACTTTCAGCAGGAGAACATCCTAAACATACAGCCAATACAAGGGTTTACATCAAAGCATGTTCATGAGTTATAATCAAGCTTTTTTTTTTTTTATAATTTTTTTGCTGGTTACAGAAAATCACAAAAACATTCATCAAAATGTATAACTAAATAGGTAACAGTTCAAAGGGTATGAATACTTATTGCAAAACACCAATTCCAAGTCTGAGATTTTGTATACATCAGGCCGTTTACTGATAGGAGTCTAACAATAACTTTGTGCTTTGATTGATTGCACATAATAAAACTTCAATCATGTGATAATCTTTAACTCCACCAGCTGCTATCAGTAAAACTACTTATGTTGTAAATTGAATGATGAGTATAAATGTGGTCTACCTGATGCTGGAAATGCATCAGATGCACTGCTACTGCAAATAATTCTAAACAAACCTTAGGTATCCTGTTTTTTTTTTTCTTTTTTTTGTTAATTCCTCCTACAAAGGTCACTTATAAATGTCTGGTCTGTGAAAGCTGTAAATGTTTGTCATGTCGTTTTAAAATTACTTGAATGTTAGTTGCCTCTTTAAATGTTTTTGACATTTTAATAGGTGAGCAGCTTTAATGTTTGAACTAGCAAACTGATCAGAACGAGGCTTAAGCTTTTCAAATCCAGGATTTGTCCTAGGAGGAGTGCCTGCAGTGATACGTCTGCTTTTTATTTTTTTTTCATTTTTTTTTTATTATTATTTTTTTTTAACTTCTTCAAAACTGCGTTGAATACAACAAATTCTTAGAAGGCGGGCCAAACAATCCAACCCTCGAATGCCTGAATGGGTCTGTACACGAAGGAGCGACGCAGACGAACGCAGCAACCCTGCAGCAATTGAAGGATTCTCAGAGGAGGCCCTCTGAGTGTTGGCAATCTTTTTCTTTGTTCGATTAAAACTCTGAACACGAACATTACCAATATAGAATAAGACATTAATTGATTTTTTTTTTCTTTTAGTGTTTATATGCAGATAGATTTACTGCGCAGCCCTCATTCAGAATTAAACCTTCGCCTCTCCAGGGGATTACAGTAATGTTTTTTTATCTGACCAGAATACGCCTCAGGGTGTTCAGCACGGGGCGAGCTCTTCCATGCTGGCAGCACGGCTCAGGGCTGACTGTGGCCAAAGCTGAACTGTACTGAAGAAACACTGAATGAGGGCTGACGTGTGGTGTGCTCGCACAAACGGTGCTGACTTGGCAGTCTGTCACCTTTTGGGAGACTCAAACAGTGCCAGCTGGTTCTTCATTTTGCTCCAAATGTCTCTCCGAAGATGCTGTGTTGCTTCTTTAGTACGCAAAAAACTCTTGTCTGTTGTTTTGCTTTTGGTATATTTTAGAGGTGCTGATGAATCCTCCATAAATTGTATTGGAGCTTGGTTTTGAAATCCAGCTGCTCTTATTGTGTTGAGTTGAAGTTTCCTAATTCTCTACCTCTGCAGGGATTTTTTTTTTTTTTTTTGCTATTAGAGGAAGGCAGGGAAATGCCTCCCAAAAGAGCTGAGATATTGAAGGCTTACTGCTAATGTTTAGTCTCTGTACATGACAGAACCACATAAACATGCAATTAGAAACTGTGGGGATCCTGAAGACGCCAATTAGCAATCAAGCAGCCGCACATTTGCTTATAAGGATACAGTTTCGGCTAGTTTTCTTCCATGTCTGTGCTCCTCGTTTCCCTTGTGTTTTTTTTTTATCTTGTGGATTTAAGGCAGCACTTTAGCTGGCAGGAAGGACACACTTGGATTGGAATTTGATTTATTTCCAGGCCCATTTGGGATGGCAGGTATCCTAATAAAAGCCTATCATGGCAAATCAGATTTAAAGCATATTCCCCGATGGTCTGAATTGTGTCCAAATCAAGTTTTGCTGAGCGATTGTAACTGGAAGCTGTGATTTAGGATCTGAGGAGCAGGCAGCTGGCTTCATTTTGACTGAAAATAGCAATCGGATTGTTCGCCCAGGTCAAGTCAGTATGCCGATGATCGTATTTCTGGAACTGAAAACATTTGAAGTAGTTTGGTTTAGCTTAAAGGGTGTAAAATGAGGGCACAGTAACAGGCTGTTAGTGAGTTTACCGAATGTTCTCTCTACAAATGTTATCCTCCCACACCACAAAAATACCGTGTGGAGGATGTTTGTGTGTAAATCAGCTCTGCGTCATACTAAGTCATGAAACCACTCTTACTTGAAGTACAAAGTGTTAATATTAGGGTTCTGACATATTGGTGATTATAATAGATTTTTAAATCACCAAAACTTCAACTCTCACAGTTTACATCAAAGCGAATTATTAACAATGTCTAATCTTTTTTTTTTTTTTTTTTTTTACTTTTTTTTAATATTAAGGGAGGATCATTAATCTTGGGTTACTGTTGTAAAACACAAATATAAATGTATAAAGGCTAAAGTTACTGGGGGATAAACAAAAACATTGATCGTGATAAACTGCCTCCTAATCTAGACAATGACATGGAAATATTACTTAGTGAGGGAGTTCCTGAATATTTTTGTTCCACTTTTGCCTTATAAATATTTAAGCTTGTTCAGTCATGTGGTTTTTTTTTTTTTTCATTTCTGCATAGAGAACAATCAGTTTTATATTTATCGCCACATTCTGTTCACAGTTTGCAGCCTATTTCATTTGTTTCAAACTATTTAGTAGAAATAGACCCAATGCCTATGAAAAGATTTCAGTGACATCTTTTTACAGCTGACTTTTCCCTCGCTCATACTTAGATGTGAGCATACTTGGATCTGGATAAGCAAATGTAAAAAAAAAAAAAAAGCATACATAAAGTTCTATGTGTATGTTTAAAGCAACTTTAAGCACATGCGATACTTTGAAGGGAAAAAAAACTGATACATTTGTCCAAATAACATCTTGGGCACGTAAAAAACAATCTTTTTTCTTTTTTTTTTTGTCTTTTTCTGCTTCCTGAGAATTGAACTCTGGTCCTGTGAACGCTCCAGCTCTGCCTCTCTAAGCAGATCTCACCTGAGCCTTCTGCCCTGTCAGCGCCTCCAAAGTCATGTTACTCTCTTCGTACGAGTTGCGTGTTCACCTCAAAATATTTTGCCGTTTCTATTTTTAAAAACCCCCGTCAATACGGCGGTAGAGCCTTATCTCACCGTTTCCAAAGCTAGGCAGTTTTCATATGCAGGTCGACTTTAGTACACGTTGTGTGTGTGATCCTCAACTACCTGTTTGATGTGTCTACAGCTAATGTTGAAGGACTAGAGGCAGTTTAATACTAGCGATCCTCAAGCTTACAGCTGTTGGAGAAGCGAAAAGCTCAAGATGTCTTTCGATTGTAAAATTGTGATTTTTTTTAATTTTTTTATTTTTTGCAGTGATCCTTATGTCAAGCTTTCCCTCTATGTTGCTGATGAAAACAAAGAGCTTGGTTTAGTCCAGACAAAAACTATTAAAAAGGTAAGTTTAAATTGACGTCCTGTTGTGCTCTGCTTCCTCTTGTCTCCTGTGTTACATCATCAGCCAAATTCAAAGGTTTTTTGATATAATCCTAAAACACCCCCTTAAAAATTTCCACCAGGTTTTTGCATGAATGAGCGGAACCATTTCATTGCAGAAGGGCGGGATAAAAAGCACATTAAGGCTGAGGGAAGCAGTCCTCCCATTTATAGGTTTAGTGAAGTCTTCTCAGCTTTTTTGGAGAGGAGATATTTTTTTGCAGCACGGGGAGCTGTTAGTTGACATTAATGTGAATGATGATTAGTGATGCTTTTAATTGCAAAATGATATAAAATCTATATATTTTTTCTTTGGTCTCCAGTGTAATTTATTCCCAAGTGTTGTTTTTGTCTCTGAATATTTAGTCCATAATGCAAGGGGTCAAACTCTGAAATAGTAGCCCGACGCAGCTTCTCAACAATACAAATATTTGTCACGTTCTTACAGATTGGCTTAGCCAGAAGCAATCTTCCAGCAAAAAGCCGCTGTAGGAGTTGGACAGCTCAGGCCTCCATGCAGGCAAACATATGCTGCCAGTGGCTATGATTGCTTTGTAGGATATAAATAGCTTGACAATATATTTCTATGTGGAGCAGAAAAGGAAGTATCAGTGCTTGGGCTCTTCTGCGGGTTCTTTGTTTCTTTAAGTGGGACACCTCTGACAGTTTCATTATTGTAGAAGCGGAGTGGATGGCTTGTGGCTGAATGATATAAAGCATGACTTAAAGTGGAGGAACTTGACGAGACTAGCGTCAGTATGAGCTCCAAAAGCACTGATGATTTGGATATTTCCTGCAGATTTTAACTTTTTTTTTTGTTTGCATCACTTTCACAGCAAAAAGCTGACTCTCAGAGAGCACTTAGTTCAGTGGTGCTTTTTGTCACAGTGTTATTTTATTACTGCAATGAAATGTTTTGCTAATTAATTAGAGTGACTTGTGAAATGTAGTCTGAGAACTGATTCAGTCAAACGAAAATGAGGCCTACCTCATGACTGAATCAGTTCTCAGACTAATAAAATCTGTAATATGAAAGACAGAAGAAAACATAAGTTCTGATTCATCTTTGAAGAAATATGTGAAGATCTTTGAGACTTTATTTAAACCCAAATATCCAATAATTGCATATAAGTTGATTTGAATTCTTACTCTTTAGAACTCCTGAGAGTCACTTGCACAGTTATGGGGTTTTAGTCCGGCAACAAACTGGTCTAATCAGATCTAAACTTTGTATTTCAGACCCTCAATCCTAAATGGAACGAGGAATTCTATTTCCGGGTGAGTTCAGCTTTTAAATCTCCTGTGTTACAATTAATGTTCTGTCTTTATTACAACAACCCTTATGTGATCTTATTGTGTGATTGGTAAACTTATTTTGCTGTTTCGCTGTTTTGTAGAAAAATGTATCGTGTGGATGAATCCATATTGGCTGGAGAACAATTGTAAAAATCAATTTTCGTGTCATGCGCCACAGATGCTCAAATGAATTTAAGTCTGAACTTTGACTGGGCCATTTGAACACACAAATATGCTTTGACCTAAATCATTACTTTTTAGCTTCACTCCATTTTGTTTTGTTACAGGAATACATATTGCTTTATAACCTAACTGCACTTTTAATCTATTCACAACTTTAGCCCTGATAGGTCTAGTGTGTTCGTTGGTCTTCATGATACTGTTTGTTCACCAATGTTCTTTAAAGCACCTTGCACAGAATTTGATTTACAGACATTGCGACACAATACATCTTTGTATTGTAAATACAAAGCAGCCCCTTAATAGTTTTGAGGTCTCTGTTGAAAAAAACCATCCAATTTCCCTGGAATAGAATTGCAGGCTAATACCTTTGAATTTAACATTCAGAGGTTGTTTTCCATCAGATATGAATTTCTTTGACTGAACAACTCCAATGACGTCGCTCATCACTGTCATTTTGTTGCCAACACAGGTGTGCCCACAGAACCACAGGCTGCTTTTTGAGGTGTTTGATGAAAACCGATTGGTAAGGTTCACACTTCCTCCCTATTTATCACTGTTTTATGCTCCCCTTAAAACAACTTATTAGAGCTTATATGTTTGTTGATAGCATCAAATGCTAAAGTATTGTTAATAGTAGCATAGTCTTTTATGCTTTATGCTGAAATATTTTGGTATTTAGACACTAAAGTGGAATTTCTCGTAGGACTAATTTATCTGACTTTGTGCTGCTTCTTTTCATTTATTTTATTACAAACATAATCGACTGTCTGTGATGACTTTTGCTACCTTAATAAGTATGATCAATTTTTTTTAGCAGTTTGTTGAGGCAAATTTATGCACTAAACAACTAACAGCTTGTTTGCTTGTTTCATTGCTCAGCTACAACAGCGTCTGACTTTAACAGCTCTTGCATTCATCTGCAGTCAGATATCAACGTATTTCCTTCCTGAAAACACTGATTTCCTCCATATGTAAAAATACCCCAGTGGCAGGCCTTCAGTTGCCATAACAACTATATAAATGTCAAGCAGTGCAGCAGTTAGCATTGTAAGCAGGTATTAATGATAAATTTGATAATTCACGCTACTGTGTAAGCTTGACTCTGAGGACATGTCGGCGAAGCTGATGGAATAGTGAAGTGGTTTTTGACATAGAGTCTGGAGAGTAAGTGTATGACTAATACCAGGGTGATCTCCAATGTTTATGTCTCCTAAATTACTTCCAGGATCTGCAACTAGGGCTTTTTGTTTTGATGAAATGGACAAAGTTAATTTGGACGTTCCGTTCCAGATAAGACTCCAGTACTGTCTTTCTGGTTCTCACAAATTCAGAGCTGTTGGACGGCGCTGAAATTACGCTGTAGTTTTCCCTTACAACTCAGTCAAACCGGGCAGATTTTATGCCTAAATCATCTTCGATGTTGGCCGACAAACTGGGAATACAGTGGTGCAGAGAGAGAACTCGTTGGCAACTCTTGTTATGAATAGCACACCTTTTTATTTATCCCCCAGTGCTGTCGGAGCTCACTGTTTCTGTATGCAGAAGGATGACAAGAAAGCACAACACGGACAGCCTCAAGCGCAGTTCTCTCCTTATAAGTCTGAGGAGGTGCTTCCAGGCTGTCCTGAGGCGCTTGCCAAGCCAGCTCCTCCACCCCTGGCCTGTGTGTTTTTAATGTTTGCTTGTTGTTTTGTATCCATTGATTTACATTTGTGTTATCAGATAGTTTTAAATTTGTGCTACATTAAGACAGGGATGCAACACTGAGCCTCTTGGTCCACTTGCAGTAAGGTTAAAAGAAGGGTGTTGAACAGAGCTACAGTACAGCATGCTGTTGGATTTGAGGAATGCATGTTATATCATTTTTAGCTAGCTGCAATTGGACCACACATTGACATTTTCCTTATACCGATCATGCGCTGTTACATTTCACACACTCCTGTATTGACTGGTGTGTCATCACCATACATAGCAGCATGCCAAGACACGATTCCTTCTTTTTCTCTGCACTCCTTTCCTTCATTTTTTTTTTTTTTTTTTTTAGCTCATTTTGTTGCAATAGAGCAGCAGCAGCAGCTTGCTGCAGAATGGTTTAGAACATAGCGAATGGTCACAGAAGTTAAAAACAAGGCAGCTTCTTTCCAGACATGCATTTCTAAAAGGTCAAACGATGACTGAGGTTTTGTCGGTTCTCGGCTGGCTCAGGAAAAGCAATCCTTTCTTTTCAACATGCTGATAGATTGGTGAATCATGTTGCTATTGAGCAAAACAAAGCGCTCTTTATGAATGTACAGCATGCTGTTGGAGGTGCTTGAGCGTTATTTGACCTTTTTTTTTTTTTATGTCATTCCGGATTAGAGACAAGGATCACAGCCGAGTTGTATCCTGGGCAACTTTTAGTTGCAAACAGAGCAGCCTATAAAACAAGCGGCCAGATAAGTGTTTGGCTCTGTGCTTGAGAGACTGCGTGTCTTTTCTGTGTGTAGCTGGATCTCCAGAGACGACCGTGTTGTTTGTCTTATCAAAGCTAAAATCTGTCAGATGGTCTCTTTGCTTTTCTGTTGCCTTTTCATCTGGTCCATTTTTAGTAACAGTTTCCTTGCAAATCCTTATGTGGTTCTGAAAGTTCCCTTTTATGTTTAATGTTGTGTTTCTGTTATTTTTGGTTGAAAAGGACGTTTAGTGGGTCACTTGGTAAGAAAATTGTCTTGCTTTTGTTTCCTGTGTTGGAAAGAAAAACTGGATTCCTATTGGCATCCTCTTCTGGTGAATAGATCATATTTGTCGAGGTAAAATGCGCTTTTATCTCTTAATTTTAAAAAAAAAGTTAAATTTTTTTAATGTTAATTCTCCTTTGATCTTCCATCTTAATGAGATGTGGATGTAAAAGACTAGGGATCATGTGCTTGATAGTGGGGGCCAGTGTGGTGGTGTAACCTGAGGTGCTGGGGCCCTTTGGAGTCATGTGACTACCAGGCAACCCTCTGTCACCTCGGTAACCAGGAACTCCACACGCTCCTACCCTATCATGGCAGGAATGCTGGCTGACACTCGACCAAGGCTATTTCTGCTGTCTGTCGCTAGTGCTTGGTGTTCCTAATAGTTTGCTGAAAGGGGATCCTCCATTCTTATTTTTATTGTAATATAGTTGCCCATCCTCTTTCTGAAGTCTTATTTTTTCTGTATCCTGTTGCTTCTGTTGTGTTCTTGCGGTGAGACGACTCTGGTCTGTGTGCAGTTCACTGTGGGGTAGGAAAGTTGTGGAAGAGACTGGGAGTGGGTGGGAAGGGAGGGAGGGGGAAGAAAAAAAGGGGAGAAGTCATCTAGCCAGCCAGTCAGCCAGTCAAAGGAGAAGTGGGCGACACAAGAAGAGGAGGCAACCAACAGTAAGTCAGAGTTTTAACAGTAAGTGAAAGTGAACGGAAGCCGTGGGACATGAGGTGAAAATGGCTCAGCGTCTGCGTTTATACTTTGGATCTGGCCGCAGCAACACAGCTCCGGAGATGCTGGAAACGGACTCGGAAGAGCAGCGAGAAGAGGGCGAAGCGTCCAGAGCGCGCTACGTGCGGCCTCCTCGTCTACCGAGGCCTCCTCAGGAGTTGGGGGCGCAAAACGTCTCATCTGGAAGTTTTGGTTTGCGTTCGGATCCCTCACTCAAAAGGAGCTCCTCCATGTTCATACCACAGCTCTCCACCTACCCCGAATCACGACCCACCAAAAGTTCGTCCGTGCAGATCTCCCTCCAGCGCTCTGACGGATCAATTAATAGACATTCTGGTGGCCTTGCAGATGATGTCCCACCGCCTTGTTATACACCGCCTGGACCTGCGCCTGCATATCCCGAACCACGGACTCAGGAAGACTTTCCGCAACAGCCGCCTCCCCCATACTACAGCCCAGATTCCCAGTTATCACTGAATGAACCAAACCTTCCCAAACGCAGAGTTTTTAGCATCGGTTCTAGTGGCTATGCTACACTGAGTAGAGGCCAACCTGGTGTTAATGTTGGTACCATTTGTATCCAGAGGAATTCTCCTGAGATTTTTGATGTCCAGCATTATCTTCTTCCTTATGGTCAAGATGGCCAGCAGCAGACTTTAGAGCCATGTGCTGGTGTTAATGGTGCAACACAGAAACTAGTTTTCCAGCTACAGCAAAACCAAAACCAGGATCAGACCCACGATTGTCAGCAGGCTGCTGCCTCCCAGGGCGACTTTGGTCGAGGCATCCGCACAGTGCGTTATCCCAGAATCCGACTGCAGAGGAGCTCATCTCATCCTAGGCTGCTGCTGCTGGAAAATAAACATCTGAAAAACGGGGCAGACTTCCAGACCATCGAGGAGAATCAGACTGATGTGGAACTGGGAGCAAAAGATAGATCAAAATGTTGTACTTTTAAAATCAGTGGGGAAAACCCCAGAAGGCAGCCGCATTTCAAGATATTCTTTACCCAGAGGGGAGGCGGAGATCAGGATGCGAGTCTTGGCAAGAAATTGGCAACAAATAATCCCCAGGTAAAGATTATTCAAGTTTAGTTAGACTCCAGCTGGCTTTTTAAACTTTTTTTTCCCTCTCACTTATTATTAATTGTGTTAGATTGGAGAACTGAGGGGTCCAGTAACAGGGTGGTGTGACGTTCAGGAAACTGAAAAGAACAGACGCAGTTACTAGTCACACTCACTGTTTTCTTTTTCACTCCTTAGCCACAGGCATTTGAAATTTTATTCACATCAGGCAGTTCAGCTACAAAAGAAAACAGGTTTGTGTGTTTTGTTTTTTTTTCTGTTCACTTGTTGCCTCCTATGTCTGAGGAATCTAACACCCAGGTTTTGATAAAACTACCAATAGCAATTGGATCTCTTTTAAGTGTTGCCTGTTTCTATCTTTAGCCGTCTCTAAGCGCTGGTGTTGAGTTTAAGAGCAGGCAGATGGTTTTTTTTTTTTTTTTTTTTTTTTTTTTTTTGGCTCGGGGGGGGGGGGGTTTTGAAATTTTCAGCGTTTTTCCAAGGGTTTGGGGGTTTGG